ATAAAGATACATTATATTATTCATATACAACATGTACAATAAATTAATATATCTATAAAAAAGGGACTCTACCCAATGTTATTCCTTCACCAATTCTTTTATAGACTAAAACTAATAAAGAACCTCCTTGGAAATCGAAGTCATGAAGAGAACACGCATTCAGAAAAAAATAATCTTCAGACAATAAACATGTACAAAGATATCCACTTTCACAATGTTCACAAGCATACATAGGTCGATTAGCTCCTGAATTACATTCAATAATCTTTTATTTCCTTGAGTACTATTTAAGCTTCCTTTTTTCTTTTTAAAACTGCTATTTTTTTCTACACTCTTATCATGAAAACGAAAACTGGTTTTACTTGCATCATCTCATTCTTATCTTCCTTTTCTTTTCTTTTCAATGATGGATTGCTAACTAAAATAATGCTCTAAACATGCTTCTGTTAATAAAGTACACAGCACAAACTTTTAAAAAATAACATAATTAAGAAAGCCAAAAAGGAATTAATAACTAAGGTTAGCCAAGCCCAAAAATAACTGCAGAACTTACCACCTGCACAAATATAAAACCAAAACTTGTCTCACTGGCACTCGATTTTACGTAACATTACCATAGAAAAAGAGAAAAAACGAAGGCTATTAGGAATTACACATTACTGAAGCCACTCTTTCACTGAAAAAGTAAATGTTTCTACATCTAAGTGTAGAAATACACATAAACAAAAGAGCAAAATAAAAAATGATAACTTTACTAAACAAAAATGCTACAAATATTATGATCAATAATAACAAAAGAAAATTCAATCATGTCACTACCAAGAGCATGCCTAAACACTCCCACCCCATACAAATTTGTCACAAAAACCTACCCTCTCTTCCTCCCTGCGAAAGAACTGGGGACGGACATAAACTACTTTAGTAGATAAACATACAAGAATCACAATATATTAATCCAATGATGTTACCAGTACACAATTCCCATTGCAAAAGAACTGTGGACGGACACAAATTACTTTAGAAAGTTGAGGTCTATTATAACACATTAATCTAATAATGTCACTACACAATTCTCATAATGAACTACAGGCATTGTTTCAGATGTGCTCCACCATAACAGTTCACAACTATTTAACAAGTAAACTAAACTAAACTAAAAAAAGAAAAAAGTAACACTTTTTGTGGGTGGAATCAATGTGACAGTAATATCAACAGTTCAGAAACTACTACCATGTCCCTTGCTCTATGCACACCCATATAGTGTTGCCTACTGATTTGATGAAGATAAATAAATAATAATAATAATAATTTAGTTTGATAAGTCTGTTAAGTGGTTCCAAACCTCTACAATAAAATGTACATTGTGAATGAAGTACCTGGTCTCATTTGTCTATATTCCCTTTATCCATTTTAGTTATTTTTACATATACCTCTTTTGCACATAACCAATGCCTTAAATCAGAGTCCAGAGAGAGAGAGAGAAAGAGTGTGAGTGAGTGAGTGAGTGAGTGTGTGAGTGTGTGAGTGTGTGAGTGTGTGTGTGTGTGTGTGTGTGTGTGTGTGTGTGTGTGTGTGTGTGTGTGTGTGAGTGTGAGTGTGAGTGTGAGTGTGAGTGTGAGTGTGAGTGTGAGTGTGAGTGTGTGTGTGTGTGTGTGTGTGTGTGTGTGTGTGTGTGTGTGTGAGTGTGAGTGTGAGTGTGAGTGTGAGTGTGAGTGTGAGTGTGAGTGTGTGTGTGTGTGTGTGTGTGTGTGTGTGTGAGTGTGTGTGTGTGTGTGTGTGTGTGTGTGTGTGTGTGTGTGTGTGTGTGTGTGTGTGTGATACACACACACACAATATACAATATACATTAGCTTAAATTGTAAACTAGAAATGGTTATGAAGATGATAATATATATAATGAAACTTTGCTACATAGAGATTTTTGGTTCCAAGACAGCAGTGAATTTAAGATTATTTTGCAAAAACTAAATAACACACTAAATATTGAATAATGAAAGGAACCAGCTATGAACCAGCAAATTGCCCTAATAACCTGGGGAAAAACATGAAAAAAGGCATAACGCAGCTGATATGAACAAGACCATATTCACAGTCTTACCTTGCTCTCGAGCCCAATCTTGAGAAATGAGCCTATGATGATGAGGATGTCGTTGATGCATATAAGGATGTACCAGAAGTTCACAAATTCCATGCGCTCCTCTAAGGTTAGCTCTTTGCCAAAGTACCGTTGGAAGAACACCACAGTGGCCTGCAACGAAAAAAAAAGGGTGGATTAATTAGGCTCACCAACGGAAATATGCACGTATAATATACCTTGTCATTTCTTAAAATCTATTTCCCTTTCTAACTGTTTGGCAGAATAATACCCCTGTCCACCTTGGAGCAGAAAAAACAACAACAACAACAATAACAACAGTATACTGACCTTTTTCAGAATCTGTGCTCTATAGATAGCCCTAATGCACATACACAGCGATGTGATGCAGGTGACAATGCTAGCCACATTGATCACTGCTCGCCAAACCTGGAAAAAAATGGAATTATAAAACAGATATGTTAATAAGACAAACATAGAATCTTAAAAATATAAAATGTAGAAATGAAAATTACACACTTTAATACTTAAAAAATAAAATAAAGAAATAAAATTTAAAAAATAATAATGAATCAAATATTATTATAAATCAGATTTGTTAGCAGAATTCAAGAAGGTATCAAAATAAGAAATAGAGGAAAGATGTGCGAATCAAATGTACACAAGAGTAAGCTTAAAAAAAAAAAAAAAAAAAAAAAAAATAAAAGATAAAAAAACTGAATTCAATTACTAATGGCCTACAAATCAAAACTCACCTTAAGTGTTCTTGACTCTGAAGCCAGATTAACAGATCCAGTGCATTCCAGGACCTTTGCACCAACGTCCAGCTCCACCAGGATCTGTCCGTCATGATCATGGTTGTTGAATACCACCTGAGGGGGGGAAATATTAAGATTAAGATTTTTCTTTTACATATGGGTATATGCATAAATGCGGAAAAAGATAACATAACAAAGGGGAGGCATAGAGTCTTGTCACCGCAGCCTAGAAGCCACACACCAGTCAAAGAGTGGCTGCTCAGTTAAACCTAATGTCCAGATTTTGGGCCACATGCAGGTGGTAAAGCACCTGGATCCAAGGGGTTTATAACATCATATAATCATAATGTCAATAATAATAATAACAATATAGATATTAATAACATTAGCAAACATTTTTTCAGGTAAACTCAAGGAAAGAGGAAAGTTGGCCAGGTCATATAGGTGTAATAATAGACTACTTGGTGGCAATGGGTTAACCCCCCCCTCCCCATCTGTTCCCATCTAACTACCATCCCTGAATTTTTAAAAGCATTATTCCACCATTTCACCTTCAGACATGATGGTCACCAAAGTTACATTTCCCAACTTGTATTTTTAGGCCTTATGATTTACTTTTTATGGGGAGGGTTGTATATAATACACCAAGAATCAGCATTCACAAATATGAAATAAAAATTTATATAATTGGAAAGGAATCATCGTTCTTTCTTTTCATCCTTGTGTTACAAACACACAAGTAAATCTGGCCAAGATGGAACTGGTAAAAAATATGCATCTGTGTAATGAGTCACTATGAAGGGTTTTCCAATATTCTGAAATATCTTTTGGTATCATTCACCTTCAGGTTTAGATGTATCTAAGGGAAGGGGGAGGGGGGAGGGGGGAGACAAGCCATAACTCCTCTATCATGTGGAACTTCGCAGTAATCATCATGATATTTTAAATTTCATATTGAATATTAGCCAGATAACCACTTCAGGTATATTTATTCCAAACCACGAACATGAACCAGAACACCCAACTTCTAACTTCTTTTCAAATTTCATATTGAATATTAGCCAGATAACCACTTCAGGTATATTTATTCCAAACCACGAACATGAACCAGAACACCCAACTTCTAACTTCTCATCCCATTCTATCCACCCCAACACCAGAATAATCCATAGACTCACCTTGCCAGTTAGCCTATAGCATTCTGGGGTGTCAAAGGGCAAATTGACACGCAGCTTGATGGTACGCAGCTGGAAAGTGAAGTCTGTGTTGAGGAGCAGGTCGAAGTTGAAGGTGAAGTTGTTCTTCTCCATGAAGTCCTTTGTGGACCAGTCAGTCGCATTGGCCTCTGAGGGTGGGATCTCTATGCATGCTGAGAGGGAGAGAAATAAAGAGTGGATATATGAAAACACTGCTGATGGGTAATGTGCTCTTCTGTCTTGGTACATAATCACAGACATTAGGTGACATCCATCACAACATCATCAGCCGGACAATTGCCTAAGCATGGAGCAGCACACACTAATGTATGCCTGTCCTCACTAGCCTTTACCGAAAATGTTATTCACAAACACTGCTACTTACACTGGGTGATATCATCATCCAGAATATATGTGTTGTTGTCGATAAAGGCTTCACCTTTCTTGTAGTGCGACACACAGAGAACTGGAGGGACAACACTTCCATTTTTGTGCTCATAAGTGTAGGTACCAATAGCTGTCTCTCTGATGTGTGCATACTGTAATTTAAAAAGTAATCAAGTCATTAAAACAAAACAAGAACACCCAACTTCTAACTTCTTTTCAAATTTCATATTGAATATTAGCCAGATAACCACTTCAGGTATATTTATTCCAAACCACGAACATGAACCAGAACACCCAACTTCTAACTTCTTTTCAAATTTCATATTGAATATTAGCCAGATAACCACTTCAGGTATATTTATTCCAAACCACGAACATGAACCAGAACACCCAACTTCTAACTTCTTTTCAAATTTCATATTGAATATTAGCCAGATAACCACTTCAGGTATATTTATTCCAAACCACGAACATGAACCAGAACACCCAACTTCTAACTTCTTTTCAAATTTCATATTGAATATTAGCCAGATAACCACTTCAGGTATATTTATTCCAAACCACGAACATGAACCAGAACACCCAACTTCTAACTTCTTTTCAAATTTCATATTGAATATTAGCCAGATAACCACTTCAGGTATATTTATTCCAAACCACGAACATGAACCAGAACACCCAACTTCTAACTTCTTTTCAAATTTCATATTGAATATTAGCCAGATAACCACTTCAGGTATATTTATTCCAAACCACGAACATGAACCAGAACACCCAACTTCTAACTTCTTTTCAAATTTCATATTGAATATTAGCCAGATAACCACTTCAGGTATATTTATTCCAAACCACGAACATGAACCAGAACACCCAACTTCTAACTTCTTTTCAAATTTCATATTGAATATTAGCCAGATAACCACTTCAGGTATATTTATTCCAAACCACGAACATGAACCAGAACACCCAACTTCTAACTTCTTTTCAAATTTCATATTGAATATTAGCCAGATAACCACTTCAGGTATATTTATTCCAAACCACGAACATGAACCAGAACACCCAACTTCTAACTTCTTTTCAAATTTCATATTGAATATTAGCCAGATAACCACTTCAGGTATATTTATTCCAAACCACGAACATGAACCAGAACACCCAACTTCTAACTTCTTTTCAAATTTCATATTGAATATTAGCCAGATAACCACTTCAGGTATATTTATTCCAAACCACGAACATGAACCAGAACACCCAACTTCTAACTTCTTTTCAAATTTCATATTGAATATTAGCCAGATAACCACTTCAGGTATATTTATTCCAAACCACGAACATGAACCAGAACACCCAACTTCTAACTTCTTTTCAAATTTCATATTGAATATTAGCCAGATAACCACTTCAGGTATATTTATTCCAAACCACGAACATGAACCAGAACACCCAACTTCTAACTTCTTTTCAAATTTCATATTGAATATTAGCCAGATAACCACTTCAGGTATATTTATTCCAAACCACGAACATGAACCAGAACACCCAACTTCTAACTTCTTTTCAAATTTCATATTGAATATTAGCCAGATAACCACTTCAGGTATATTTATTCCAAACCACGAACATGAACCAGAACACCCAACTTCTAACTTCTTTTCAAATTTCATATTGAATATTAGCCAGATAACCACTTCAGGTATATTTATTCCAAACCACGAACATGAACCAGAACACCCAACTTCTAACTTCTTTTCAAATTTCATATTGAATATTAGCCAGATAACCACTTCAGGTATATTTATTCCAAACCACGAACATGAACCAGAACACCCAACTTCTAACTTCTCATCCCATTCTATCCACCCCAACACCAGAATAATCCATAGACTCACCTTGCCAGTTAGCCTATAGCATTCTGGGGTGTCAAAGGGCAAATTGACACGCAGCTTGATGGTACGCAGCTGGAAAGTGAAGTCTGTGTTGAGGAGCAGGTCGAAGTTGAAGGTGAAGTTGTTCTTCTCCATGAAGTCCTTTGTGGACCAGTCAGTCGCATTGGCCTCTGAGGGTGGGATCTCTATGCATGCTGAGAGGGAGAGAAATAAAGAGTGGATATATGAAAACACTGCTGATGGGTAATGTGCTCTTCTGTCTTGGTACATAATCACAGACATTAGGTGACATCCATCACAACATCATCAGCCGGACAATTGCCTAAGCATGGAGCAGCACACACTAATGTATGCCTGTCCTCACTAGCCTTTACCGAAAATGTTATTCACAAACACTGCTACTTACACTGGGTGATATCATCATCCAGAATATATGTGTTGTTGTCGATAAAGGCTTCACCTTTCTTGTAGTGCGACACACAGAGAACTGGAGGGACAACACTTCCATTTTTGTGCTCATAAGTGTAGGTACCAATAGCTGTCTCTCTGATGTGTGCATACTGTAATTTAAAAAGTAATCAAGTCATTAAAACAAAAACAAGAAAAGATATTTCTGATTGCAATTTTCTTTGATTTGACTATATACAACCAAAACTTACTCTACATTCACTTCATACATAATTATCTCACAAGCAACAAACAATCTTCACTTTTCATTAGACTGCAAAAATCCAACTGCAACCCCACCCACAGTCACTCACACACCTAATTACTCTTGTTCAGCTCTTACCGTCGTAACAGCATAATCCAAGTATTCGAAGAATGAGGCCTTCTTATAGACTGCCAGGGGGCCATCAGCAGGGGGGTACACCTGAATTTCACGGGTTGTGTCCCACCCTTTGATGAACAGATGCGAGAAGGAGATCTTGGTGTCCCACAAGTAGTTGACATGGTTGTACCGCTGCTGGGCAAACAGGCACAACTGGGGGAAGGATGATGAAAGTAGTTTTCTTTTAACTTGCATCTTTACTATTCATTTAAAAATATTATACACAATTTCCAAATTAATTTCAAACCAGGATCCTGAGCATGGAAATAGAATCGTCCCTGGAGCCGATACTCTTCCAGTTATGGCTCACGGAGAGTACATTACACATTTGTTTATCAATGGAAAT